TGAACTAGAGTCCTAGTTTTCAACATATCATTTTGAAAACAATTAATTAAAAGGAAGATCAAGTAGAACCCTTTACTGAGCTCACCACCACTGATAACGCCATGACATAAACAATCCATAACTCATAGCATGTTAATCACAGATCTGTATTGCCCTGCAGCAGCAGAGGCTCCTCTCCCTATTTCTATTAGATGAATAAGCAAACTGACAGACATTTTGGCAGCAGGAAGACTTCAGTATACAATTCACACCTTGCCTAGTGATACCACTGGACATGGTGCCATGTAAATTTGGCATTGCTGTGGAGTACGATGACATGTTTCATGTCAGATTGACTCAGATAGTTGTCTTGAGCTGGTTCTGAGCTAGCTTACCTCAAGGTGCTAGGATTGGGAGTTGTGTAGGTGAACAGAAAACTCTTGGAAGGCTTTGGACTCAGTTTTATGCATTTTATATTATTCAAGTGAACAATTAACTATATAACATACCTTAGAGGCATATGCTTCATATAGCTGTTGTAATGTCCTTCCCAAAACACTCTTGGTGGTATTCATTAGTTGCTCACTCTTCCTCCAGCTTCTAGTTGTAGAGTCTAGGTACAGGTACTCTAACCCAGTCTCTCCACTTTCCTTGTTTTGTCTTTTAGGTAACTTATAAAAAGTAAACCTAACAGATAAAATAATTATGAATTACTAACATTTATTGACTGCTTTCCTGTGGCAGTAACTGTGTTACACACTTTAATATATCTCTCACTTATGTTTCACGGAAGGCCTCTAGGGAAAGGGATTTGCTCCAGCTCTCTGTCTCTTTCTTCACCCTTATCTTTGCTCCTCCCCAGAGAAGAAAATAAAAATCTGATTGGATATGTTCTAAGACCTTGGTTATACTGGTGGGTGGAGTCCCTGAAGTGGAAGTCCATATACGTTGAGAGTGGCCCTTTCTGTTGCTTCCGGGATCCATGTGGCTACAGTGGAGAGAAGGCCAAGGCCCAGACCATGCAGTCGGCTGACTGGGTATGAGATTTGGGTCTGGGCTTCAGGAGAGGTGGAAGATACTTTGAGCCCCTGTCCTAAACTGCATTCTTCAGCTCAGTTTATCAGAATACTCTGCCTTGATGATTCAGGGCTAAAACCAAGCAATTAAGTAGGCCCTTTCCTTCCTTTACTATTGTTTTCCATTTGTATATCTCCCTCGGATATCTCACAGGGAGGAGAGGTAGCTCAGCCAAGAAGCATTAAGGCATTATTGCATTACCTAGCTCAGCGTTTCTCAATGTGCTCTAGTCACGTTTTCGGCCAGATCATTCTTTGTTGTGGGAGCTGTCCTCTGCATTGTAGGATCCCTGCCCTCTACCTATTAGATGCCAGTAGCACTGCCAAGTTGTGACAATCAAAATTGTCTCCAGACATTATCAAAAGTCCTCTGAGGGCAAAATTACCCTCGGTTGAGAGCCACTAATCTGGCCAAATACTTTCTAATAGCATGAACCCCACCATTAACCCCTAAACACTCACAGTGCACCAAACATTATAATATATACACTATTACCATACAACAGTGTCACAAACCCATAAAGGCTGCACACTCTTCACTTGGTCCCCTTCAGTCCTATACTTTATTTAAGTGAACTCTTTCCTGCCCTGCTTATGCTTTCTTACAGGGTTAGGTCCTCACGTGTGGCAGGAAACATGAAATTATTCTTTGGTGCTGACTTGATGGTCCCTTTTCTTACTTGTCTCAATAAATGTTAGCAGCTTGGCAGCAAGTTGCTTATATTCTCTCTAACAGACATTGCTAAGTAATATGTCCATTCACTTGTGGCAAAAATGATTTTCTATATCAATCACAATTTAGTGGCCCACCAGTGAAGGGTTTGTGAACTATCAGTGTGCTGTGGCACACCAGTTGAGAGCCAGTACTTTTAAACATTTTTCTTGGGTGACTGTTTCTAATTATGTACTCAAGAGTCCTCAATCTGTTTCTAGCCCAGACCTTTCTGCTGAGGTCCAGAGAAACCTAAACACAAAGATGTCCCAGAAACCCCCAACTCCATATTTTTGAAACCAAGTTTATAATATTTTGCTCCAAATCTGCTCATCCCACACAGTCACAGGAACAGAAACCTAAAATTATTTATTTATTTATTTTTTGAAATGGAGTCCCACTCTTGTTGCCTAGGCTGGCGTGCAATGGCATGATCTTGGTTCACTGAAACCTCCTACTCCCAGGTTCAAGCAATTCTCCAGCCTCAGCTTCCCAAGTAGCTGGGATTACAGGCATGCGCCACCACCCCTGGCTAATTTTGTATTTTTAATAGAGACGGGATTTCTCCATGTTGGTCAGGCTGGTCTTGAACTCCTGACCTCAGGTAATCTGCCTGCCTTGGCCTCCCAAGGTGCTGGGATTACAGGCGTGAGCCACCGCACCTGGCCAACCTAAAATTATTTCTTAACATCTCCCTTTCTCCTACCCGCTGCAGCCCATCCATCACCAAGTCTTCTCAGCATGTCCTCCTTTCTATTCCCATGACCACTTCTTTTTTTGTTTTTGTTTTTGAGACAGAGTTTCACTGTTGTTGCCCAGGCTGGAGTGCAATGGCACAATGTCGGCTCACCACACCTCCGCCTCCGGGGTTCAAGCGATTCTCCTGCCTCAGCCTCCCGAGTAGCTGGGATCACAAGCATGTGCCACTACACCCGGCTAATTTTGTATTTTTAGTAGAGGTGGGATTTCTCCATGTTGGTCAGGCTGGTCTCGAACTCCCAACCTCAGGTGATCCACCCGCCTCGGCCTCCCAAAGTGCTGGGATTACAGGCGTAAGCCACCACGCCCGGTCCCATGACCACTTCTTTAACTCAGGTCCACACCTCTTCTTACCTGTAATGCTGCAAAAGTGCTCCTGGTCTCTGTGATGCTAGGCTGCTCCCCATCAATCCAGCCCTCATAGTACTGCCAATGGGCTTCCTGAAGTGCAAATCTCACCATTCACACCCCTGCTTGAAGTCCTCCAGTAGCTCCCTTTCAATGTCAAGTTCAAACCTTGTAGCTCAGCACACAGACCCCCGGCTGTTCCTACCTCTGTAACCTCACCTCTGGTCATCTTCCTGTATTCTCCTGAACTTCCAGCAATACTAAATTACTTGCAACTCCCAAATTTCCATGTTGCCTCTTGCTTCTCTACCTCCTCATTGCTCCTTCATTGGCCTGAGATACCCTTGCACATCCCTTCTTTTTCCAGCTACTTCATAATTGTTCTTAAAACTTAGATCAAAAACTACGTCCTCAGAGATGCTTTTTGGGCTCTCTGTTCCCCTATGTTCCACCTATGCCCTTACCACATAACTGTGAGGTCCTTGAGGGTAGGAACCAGGTTTTGTTCATATTTGTAGTTTCAAAACTCCACACAGAGCTCTGTTGAGCTCAGTAACTGCTGTAAGACTGACTACTGCCTTGAGTATATCTGTGTTCTCTAGCCTGAAGTTTACACAAAAAGCTTGACACCAACCATTATGGCAAACTTAAATATCCCAATTAAAGAGTGAAAAAGTAACTAAAGCTTTAGGAGAACGCATGACTATAATGTAAAACAGCATTTAATGTCTTTGACACTGTACAACAGGCCAGTGACCTACCTACCACTCATGGCATCAGCTGCCTCTGCTGCCAGACAAACCGAGGTTAGGCAAAGAGTGCTGTGTGTGACCAGATCCCCCTTCTCCCTCTCATAAGGAGAAGCACATACTCCATTTTCAGAAAAAAAATAATAATCTGGCTTCTTTACTCTATCAGTCTTTAAAAGGATGTTGGAAATGTTCTGTTAGGAAAAACCATGATGTAATTAAAAGAAGCTGCCAGCTGCCAGAAGCCGCCAGTTCAATCCCACTTCTGTGGCTACCAGCCTTGCCCTGCTGAGAACAGTGAATCAGGCCCAAGAGGGGCTGCTCAGCTCTTCTTCAGGGGGAAACTCCCTCACTCAGAAGCCTACCCCTGCTTGGGAATGTGGCCCATTTGCACACTTTAACTTCCTTTATTTGTAAAGGGAGGAAAGAGAATGGATATTCCCTTAGGAACTTCGCAGTGAGCCAGGCCAACTCCCAGACTGAGGCTGTTTGCATGCGGCAATCCTTCCATTTCATTTACCTACCAGTCCACAGCTTTCCCTTCTTCATTTCTGCATGAAATTGTTGCTGTCCCCAGCACCCCAAAGAGGCCAAGGAAGACCAAAGCAAAGGATGTTCTTAGCAGTCTTGCCATCATTTTCTGTTTCATTTATTTCATGCCACAGCAGGACACTTTCCACATAGATTGTGGAGTCTGAGTTTCAAGGCGCTCTCAGGCTGTGCTGGCTCTGACGTTTGATTCCATTTACCTGTTCTGTTTGCTGTTCGGGGCATTTTCAGAATGGGATGGATCCCATGTAATTGTGCGATTCTGTCACAACATGCCAGCGTGACTCCGGATGTCTTTGTGCTGAATTGTTGACTGGTTTGCAAAGTCATCAAAAAGTTCTGCAGAAAAAAAGGGAAATAGAGTTAACTCTTTGGAGTGAACATTGTTGTATAAAATTCAGTGGGCAGGGGAACGTCATTTTAATAAGTAGATGTTAAATATATTTCATGTCTTCTCCTCCTGATTGACTCAATGAATGAGAGCAAATGCAGGTGGTTCGTACATTAAACAGAAATGATGAAACCTTATGTCTTCGTAATAATTAGGATCTGTCACTTATAATAATCTCTGTCTTAAGGAACCAGTTGCTAAGGGGTACTTCAAAGGGTTGCTTCAAAGTAACAGTAAATTTAACTGTATTTTACCAAAGATGTTTACATATTCTCTCCACCTCCCTGGTTTTAGCCACTCAATGTGGTGCTTCACTTCAAAGAAGCTTTGGTGTCCAGTTGGCTGCTATGCAATAGGTAAACATATTGATCACCCACTCTTCAAGTTAATAAAAAATGTTACAAACATCTATTTTGCCCAAACTATGCCTTCTCATTCTCGAAGCTGAATCTGAAGTAGAAAACCAGAAGAAAATGGCCGACTACCATAACAACTATAAAAAGGTGAGAGCAATTTCTTTGTGAAACAGGGAAGGAGTAGATAGACATATGAAAATAATTTCTTTAATGCATACTTTTGCATCAATTATTAAAGCTGCCATTACAATAAATAGCAGTTTACATCATGCCTGGAAATACTGCTGCCTCTCTGATAATCACAGTGCTAACTATATAGTTCCAGATCAGAGGATCCAGACCAAACTGAACCCTTGTAAATCAGATTACCTCTGTGGTTGCCCTAGAACTGTTCCCAATTCTCAGGATCCATAGAAAAGGGGAAGGCTTGTGTCTCTCTGTCGTAAGACAGAGTTTTGGGAGGAGGACACTGTACCACCTGCCCAATTACCTGTGGTACCTGCCAAAAAAAAAGGCAGAATTCTAGGCCTTATTCCAAACCTGCTACATCAGAATTCTTCCAGTTGGGCTCAGGAATCTATATTTTTAATAAGCTTATTGGTGAAGTTGGTGTACCCTAAATTTGAAACTCACTGTCCTGAGGCCAAGACTATGCTGTATTTGGTAGATTCACAGCTTTCTGCAGGGAGCAGACTAAATTGGCTAAATGAAGAAATATTTTTCTTACCCATTCCTCCATGGGTATTATTGTTATTATTATTTTGAGATGAAGTTTTGCTCTTGTTGCCCAGGCTGGAGTGTACCCACCTTGGCCTTGGAATCCATCCACCTCTTCCTCCCAAAGTGCTGGGATTACAGGCGTGAACCACTGTGCCAGGTCTCATTTCGTTTTATATATTTTCTTCCTGTGTTCAGAAAAAAGGATTTCAACAACCCCATCCTTTTTGTCAATTAAAAAAATTTTTTTTTTAAATTATCAACTGGACGCAGTGGCTTATGCCTGTAATCCCAACACTTTGGGAGGTTAAGGCAGGAGGATTGCTTGAGCCCAGAAGTTCAAGACCAGCCTGGGCAACATAGCAAGAACTTATCTCTACAAACAATAAACAAAAATTAGCCGAGCATGGTGGCACATGCTTGTAGTCCCAGCTGCTCAGGAGGCTGAGGTGGGAGGATGGCTTGAGCCCAGGAAGTCAAGGCTGCAGTGAGCCATGATGGTACCACTGCACTTCAGCCTGGGAAACAGAGTGAGATTGCCTCAAAAAAAAATATATATATATATATGTGTGTGTGTGTGTGTGTGTGTGTGTATAGAGAGAGAGAGAGAGAGAGAGAGAGAGACAGAGAGAGAGAGAGAGAGAGACAGAGACAGAGAGACAGAGAGACAGAGAGAGAGAGATTACTCTTCTCTGTTAAAGTAAAAATAGGAGACAGAGTCTTGCTGCGTTGCCCAGGCTGGAGTGCAGTGGCGCAATCTCAGCTCACTGCAACCTCTGTCTCCCATGTTCAAGTAATTCTCCCACCTCAGCCTCCCGGGTAGCTGGGATTACAGGTGCCCACCACCACGCCTGGCTAATTTTTGTGTTTTTAGTAGAGATGGGTTTCACCATATTGGCCAGGCTGGTCTCAAATTCCTGACTGCAGATTATCTACCCGCCTCAGCTTCCCAAAGTGCTGGGATTACTGGTGTAAGCCACTGCACCTGGCCAAAATATTTTATTTATTTACTTATTTATTTATCTGTGAGTCTTTTTGGTATTACAACTAATAACAGATACGCACCAGTAGGATTCACTAATGCATTTAGAGAATGTAAGCAAATTGTTTTCAGTTATGTAGGGCTAAAGACAGTTTGTTGAGTAGGATTTAAACTTATTCCTATTTTCTTCTCCTTATTACACACTTAGCACAGTGCCTGGTAATAGTAAATGATTCATAAATGTTAGCTAAGATTATTCTTACTACAACCTGAGCTTTTCCTGTAAGGTGGTCGGGGGACGTGTGTATTAGAATGATATTTACTAAATCCAATTTTATTTCAAGATCTGGAAAGACACTCTTAGGTTGGTTTCTTTCAGATGTCACTTTCAATAAACTTCCTTATCTCCCATTGTTGCTAACCTGATTATGCTGGTTGTCAGTCAACAACCTTTCTTATGCAATCACTACTGTGTCTAACACTATACCAGACATTGAAGATCTCCAGGGATTTCAACATTACCTAAAACCTAGAGTCCAGTCTGTTTCAGTTTTTGCTAAAAACAGCGAAGTAATTTGGAAAGAAACCTATGAATTTGGCGAATGAGGAAAATGCAAACTGTACAGAATATTTTTCATAATATTATCTGCTTTTGAAGCTCAAGTAGTATAATATTATGTAAATGCCATAGTTCCTTCATAATCTGATTGCCTCTAAAAACAGTAGAAAATGCCCTCATTGTAACTTGGCCAAGTACTATACAGTGTACAAGTAAGAATTCTTTGCTAGGTAATGGGCTTTTAATTTCATGATTGAAGTTTTGTAGTCACCCAATTATTCTGAAAAATCTCAGTCTTGAGCTCTTCAAATAGTGCCTCTTCCACATTCTCTTTATTATATCTTTCTAGTACATTTTATGTGTTGTTCATATATTCCAGGTCCTTGTATGTCTGCATTAATCCTTATGATTATTTATTTAGATCTCTCTTCCAGTTCTCTAATTCTCTCTTTGGCAGCATTAATCTGTTACTTAATCTGTCTTTTCCAAATAACTAATTCTTTTAAAAAATATTTTCTTTAAAAATCTTTATTTTTTATTTGTACATTGACAAACTATACTTATATATATTTTAATTCTTTTTGTGTTATGTTTAATGTGCTTCTTAATCCACTTATTAATGCATTTTTACAAGTTCTATTTTTTTTTTCAAATTCACTTGGTCTTTCTTATGGTCTTGTTTCTTGCTCATACACCCAATCTTCTCTTTTATTTCTGTAAAAATATGAAATATATTATTTTATATTTTTGTATCTTATTCAAATACCTGAAGTCTTTGCAGATCAGACTTTGCTATTTGTTATTTCTGAAGCTCTTTGTTATAATACCTTGCTATTGTGTGTACTTTTGATTTTTGGCTATGAGTTCACATTCTGTGAGGATTTTTGGGGATTGAGATAAAGTTGGGTTTCTCAAGAACCTGGTCTCTACTGGCTTCATCAAAGTTCAGTTGTCCTTTGAGGACTCATGGGAGTCAGGAGGCTGGCTTTATTTATTTATTTCCAATAGCTTTTTGAAGTATTATTTACACACTATAAAATTTATCTGTTAAAGTTCAGCTTATTTGTGTTCAGATGTTTACAAGACTGTCAATGGATTGAGTAAAATCTAGAAGTTGACACACTGAAGGAAAAAGTTGATGTACTTGTTGTGGGAGGGTGAGGAGAGGACTTGAATTATTTTGATGAAAAGGAATGAGACAAGCAAATGATTCAAGTATTTATAGATTAAAGAATTTAAAGATTAAAAGATTTGCTACTGAGAAATGCAGTTAAAGGAAAACATAAATACAATAAGTGGAAGAGGACCAGAATATTACGTTTGGCTAATTCCTACTCATCCTTCAGGTTGCTTTGAGGATGCCAGTTCTTCCTGGAAGCCATCCTTGATCTCTCCCAATCTGGCTTAGGTGTCCCTGCAATGTATTCTCAGAGCTCACTATCAATTCGAGTAATTATCACGATGTGTTCCTAATTACTTGCTTACCTTTCTGAGTCTTCCTCTAGAGAGCAGGGGTCAGAAAACTCCTGTGCCTATTTTTGTAAAGTTTTATTGGAATGCATCCACACCCATTCATTTATGTATTACTTATAGATGCTTTTATGCTACAATGGCAGAGTTTACTTGCAACAGAGACCCCACAGCCTAAAAAGCATACAAATTAACTTCTTGATTCTTTACAGAAGAAGTTTGTTATAGTCTATGAAGGCAGAACAGTGCCTGGCTTGTTTACTGTTGCATCTCCAGCACATATCACGGTGCTTGTCACCTAGAATGAGCTAAATAAATACAAGTGAATATACAGATTGAATGAAAAAGTTTTCAGATCCTGCTGTGATTGAGTCAGGGGAAAAAAACAAGAAAAAGTTTTCAGAGATATCTCTTTCGGGGTTATATGGAACTTAGAATGAATTTAATCAGAAAATATATAAAAGTGGGTATATAGTAGGTAAGAGTCCCATTAGAAAGAATTTTAATATAATGTTTATAAGTCAGAGAGGCAGCTAAGCATAGTAAGAAGAATCAGCCAGACCTGGGGTCCATGGCTGACTCTGCCTCTCACTCGCCATGTGGTTTCCATCAAATGATCAACTATGCTGAGCTTCAACTTCCTTTTCTAAGGGTGGGGCTTATGATTTCTGCCTTCATAGAGTGCTCTCAGGATTCAGTGAGAAGCTGTGTGCACAGTCCCTGTCACATAGCTGACTCTCATACATGCTGGTTCCTTCTCACCTTGTGTCCTTTTCTTCCATGACAAAATAACTTTCTTTTCCTTGCCGATAGACTGGAATCAGTCCTTTGGTGAGGTTTTAAATGACCTCAAGCCCACGTTGTTTGTGTTTTCAATGCTGTTTATCAGATAAAAGTCTGTGTTCCACTCAAACGAGTGCCATGTTGTTGAAAGCGTGAAGCTGAACTTCCATCTTGCCGCAAGGGGCAACCACCCTAAGATTTGCCTTGTGTTTCACAGCTTAAATCTTCCCACCATAAACACAGAATTCATCTGAGTTCAGAATCCTCTGTAATTAAAAAATAAAAATGACTGAAGTGCTAGAAAAAGGGATGGTTTGTGCAGGGGTAGCTCTTGGTGTGGGGTAAGTTCTGCCTAGCACAGTGTCTTTCCCAGCTCAGCAGGACTTCTTCCACTATATCAGTCTGCCTGTCATCTGTGTGACTTTGGGTAGCTCACTTAATATCGCTGGGCTAGTTTCTTTCTTTCTTTTCTTTTTTCTTTTTGGAGATGGAGCCTCGCTCTGTTGGCCAGGGTGGAGTGCAATGGCACTATCTCGGCTCACTGCAACATGTGCCTCCTGGGTTCAAGTGATTCTCCTGCCTCAGCCTCCCAAGTAGCTGGGATTACAGGCATGTACCACCACACCTGGCTAATTTCTCTCTCTCTTTTTTTTTTTTTTTTTTGAGACAGAGTCTCGCTCTGTGGCCAGGCTGGAGTGCAATGGTGCGATCTTGGCCCACTGCAACCTCTGGCTCCTGGGTTCAAGTGATTCTCCTGCCTCAGCCTCCCGAGTAGCTGGGACTACAGGCGTGTGCCACCATGCCCGACTAATTTTTGTATTTTTAGTAGAGACGGGGTTTTGCCATGTTGGCCAGGCTGGTCTCCTGGCCTCAAGTGATCCACATGCTTTGGCCTCCCAAAGTGCTGGGATTACAGGAGTGAGCCACCACGCCCGGCCTCTCTGGGCCAGTTTATTTTTAAATAGAGTCTCTCTACCAAATCACAAGGTGCTTGTGAGGAATAGATAAGATAATATGGATCCTAGAGGGTGGAAATTTTAAAAATGGTAAAGTGGTGTATAAATGCAGCTTTCTACAGCAGCATGGCCAATTCCCTGCTTTGTTGGAATCAGAATAAATGCTTCCTTTCTTTCCCGAATGAATGGAGGGGCCAACCATCAATTTGGGTGTAGGGCCTATGATGTAGTGGGAAAGAGCATGTCATCTAGGGGCACATGGGCTGAGCTCTCATCCTCTCTCTGTCACTTAGTAACTATGTGACCTCAGGATATTACCTAACCCTAGTGTCTTTTTTGGCCAAAGTTGGATAATAATACCTATTTTACAGGGCTTGTCAAGAAGTAGAGGAAATAATCTATGCTAATTTCCTGACATATGAAACTCTTAATAAATGGTTGTTGCTATTTTATTTTCAAGACATACATTAGGAAACAGACATCTTTCAATGTATGAATTTCAGCAAAATGTTCTTTTAGCTGCCTTTTTGGTGGTCTCCATCAATTCTTTATTGTGGGATCTTCTGCCCCTAATCCTAGAAGCTCCTGTGGACCTTGTTACAGGTTCACTGCCCTAAGCCTGTTAGTGCTGAAAGGTTGGCAAGAAAATTAGTATTTCTCCTGGCGATTAGCAATGAGTTTCTCTTTCTTGGTAACAGGTGAAAGAATGAAAAGAAGACTCCTGTAAATGGAGACTTTATTAGGTAACAGGTTACCGTTTCTGCCATAGTTATGCAGATGAGTTGTTATACTGTTCTTGAAACATCTGCTTGACAAATCCCTTTAGAGTCACTCTTTGAACATAACACATGTTTTACCCCATGATAGCAATAATAGGCCACTCTGTAGGTTAAAGCAACATGCCATTCTCTACTGGATAGCAATATTTTCCCATCAACATTTAGTAGGTCCTAGGCAATCAAAAAAATATCAGTTGTCACTAAGATTATCCACCATTATTGTTCTTATCATTATTGTGTATTGTTAAAATCTACCAAAGTGATATTAAGATTGTCCACATGAGTGCTCATTTTTCTCATGTTAGCTCAGCATTTCTCTGAAGTCTTTTTTTCGTGAATGCCCAAAAATAGCAGTCAAAGGAGAAACCTGGGAAAATAATTGAAAGAATTTCTCTACGACATTCCAAAGACAACAGAGACTGTTGCTATGATTAATTTTTCCTTCTATCCTGGCACACTGCAACTGAATTGTTATTTATCTATATGTGATGGGTCCTACATAGCTAGTATTTTTGTATTTCTCTCTATTATGGAGAAGAGAGATGATGCTTTGGAAGCTCTTCTAAGACTTGAAAGAAAATTCTAGTCATTTTAAAATTTACATTTATAAGTTTCCCCTTATCTTTCCTAATATTTTTCCAGTCATTTTTCTCTAATGAAAACTACTTACATAAACACACATTTGGTGAACATACACATACACCAAATAAAAATTCATATTTAAGTATTGGAAAAAGCTTAAATTAAACACAACAATAACCTTAAATATCTGCCTTTGCCAGCAGAGTAGAGAAATTCGATGTTGAAGTATGACATGCTAGAATCAAAAACATAAAACTATAGCTAAAAGAAGCTTCTAAAATGAGGCAGTTCTGTGCAAAAAATAAACGAGTATGTGCCAAAGATTTAAGTAGTTGGAAACTGTGTTATAATATTACTACTTCTGCTAATATTTAATAATATAGAGGCCCATGGGTGGTTTCACAAGGATTTTTATTTTCTGAGAATGATTTTGAGCTCACAAGCCACAAAAATCAACCTTATTTCTTTTCCCTATAAGAGTTCTTGTAGGAAAATATGTCCTGATATAGGCTGAATCTCCTTATATCCCTCCACCTCATCCTGTAACTTGAAAATATTAACCTGAAACTCCACTGATGAGTGACTTAGAACTGAAAACACATGTTTTTCCTGCCAAAATATAAAGGACCTAAATTTTCTGAACTAATCTGAAAAATGAGGAAGCTTGTTTCTTGGACAAATAATCGATGACAATTTTCAAAGCACTGTCAAGTGCTATGAGCAAATATAAAAATGATTCGATCTTGCCTTGAAGACATTGATATTGGGAATACTAAGACATGTACACACATGACGATAACCAAGAGAGTGACCTCAGCTGCTAGGAACTCTTCGCCTAAAGTGCACTGGTAGTTCAAAGGTCAGAGGTGTTATTTCCTCGTGGGGGCATTGGGAAAGCTTTATGGAGGAGGTCCAATGTGGGATGAACTATGCTCTGTGGAGAGAGGGCATTCTAGGCTGAGGGTAAGAGTGTTGGTTGGTGGTTAAAATCACAGAGACTTGAAGTCAAATCTTGGCAGTGTGGCCAGAGAAATGTACTTCTTTCTGCCTCAGTGCTTAACTAGAAAATGGAGAAATTCATTTGGTACCTGGTACATGTAAGTACAAATATCTGAGTGTTACTATTAAAAGGAAGCATGCATAAATACGCACAGAGCTAAAAAGTATGGCACGTGGGTGGTGAAGAATATTAGCTCTATGTAAAGATTTGCCCTCAATGTGTTTAGGCAGCTAGGATTCATTTAAAATACAATTAATATTGACAAGGATTTGTTTTATTAGTTGTACATCTATAGCACAAAGCAGTGTGCACCTGTGTGGGATCCTCAGTCTTCTTTATCAAAAAGAGATGAAACTCCTGTACTGATCAGTGGTGGAGTCGTGCCTGTGAAGAACCACTGTGCTCCAGCCTGGGCAACATAGTGGGATCCTGTTTTTAAAACTGAAAAAAAAAAAAAAAAAGAAAGAAAGATAAACAAGGATATCTCCCTATCACTTACTGATGGAACTGATTTGAAATATATATATATTTTTTTTTGGTCAAATTGGCAGGTCAGATAATAATAATAGCTAACATTTACTGACACTATGTGCTAGTCACTTTCAACCTCATGACAATTATAGGAAATAGCTGCTGTCATTACCCTATTTTACAGATCCAAAGGGGAGGGAACAAAAAAAATTAAGCAACTTGCCCAGGGCCATACAGCTAGCAGGTGGTGGAGGCAGAAATTAAACTCAGGCAATCAGACATTAGAGCCTTTACCTTTACAATAGTGTTTCATTGCATACAGGCAGTTGTACACTGAAAATGACCAAGTCTTCTCCCTCCTGCCGCCTCATGACTAGTTGTCAGACCGTGGCAAAGTCAGTTTGATCAAAGTGATCCTAATAATTTGGACACCAATTACACAGAGTAATGGTTCTTAAACTTTTATAAGTCATGAGGCCTTTTGGAATCTAATGAAATTCTACGAATGCTCTTTCCAGAAAGATTCACCTCTCCCCTCGCCTAAACAAATAAACTTTTAGTTACAACCTCATGGAGTACACCGTTCCAACCCAAATCCATCCACTGAGCTTCTAGAGGCTAAAAGACTCTAAGGTAAGAACCCCTAGACCTGTAGTGACATCTATATCACTTTCATTATGGCCTGAAAATAATAGAACACTTACTATCTTATTGTAGAAGTGAAAATATATGAGTCATTTAAAATCCCTGAGTGCTGTCTCCAACATTACTTGCAGACAAATAATCCCTTTACATTTTAAGACCTGTGTAGAAAAGGGGATTTTTCTTGTACAGAGCCAGGTAAAGATTTATTCCTGGCTGGGCATGGTGGCTCACGCCTATAATTCCAGCACTTTGGGAGGCTAAGGCGGGAATATCACTTGAGCCCAGGAGTTTGAGACCAGCCTAAGCAACATAGTGAGATCCCATCTCTAAAAAAAAACTACAAAAGTTAGCCAGATGTCGTGGTGTACACCTGTAGTTCCAGCTACTTGGGAGGCTAATGTGAGAGGATCACTCAAATCCAGGAGGTTGAGGCTGCAGTGAGGTGTGATTATGCTACTGCACTCCGGCTTGGGTGATAGAGCAAGAGCCTGAAAAAGAAAGAAAGAAAGAAAGAAAGAAAGAAAGAAAGAAAGAAAGAAAGAAAGAAAAAGAAAGAAAGAAAGAAAGAAAGAAAGAAAGAAAGAAAGAAAGAAAGAGAGAGAAAGAAAGAGAGAGAGAAAGAGAAAGAAAGGGAAAGAAATAAAAAGAAAAATTATTCCTGCTGATATTTTTTCCAGAGTATTATTCTAGGAAATCGATTTACTTTTATAACTTCTCAAACCATACAAGCCTGAGGAAGGACAATCAAAGGGATGAGTATCAGTAATCATGAACATTTAAAGAAGGCCAATGTACCTGAGGGTAGGCAGGCAGAAGTAGGCCTTATCATAGTAGCAGCCCTTTGATTTGACCACTCCAGCTCTCCATCTGTGTGCACTCTAGGTATTTATTTCTGTCAATAACTGGAAAGATCCTTTAATGCAAAATTTGATGGGTGATTATTGTTTATCAATGATAATTATAGCTAATATGTGCTTATTAATTGAGTGCTGATTATTGGTAAAACACTTTTCTAAGTCCTTTATACTTTTTTCTCATGCACATCAAACCTTAGAGATGGACACTACTATTATTCCCATTTTATAGATGGAGAAATTTGCCTCCATTCAGAGCTAATACGTGGCAGAACAAGGATTCCGCCTGGGCTGCCTGACTGCAGAGCCCAAAGCCTGTCCTTTCAGCCACCTGCCCCCTCTCCAGAAGAGAGCACCCTTTGTATTTTCCTGTATGAGATCTCTACACCGTTCCCTACGTTCTACACGATGGGGCTCTGACACCTACTTCTGATTTATCTGATTAGAGAACTGGGGGAGAACAGCCTCGGTTATGGTCCAGGCCATTATCTGCTCTTTGAGTGCAGGGACGCTTTTGGTTGTCCCACACCAGACTTTTTCCACCTGCTCCAGGCTCAGGTGATTAGTTCCCTCCATACGGACTCATTGCCAGTAAACTTGATTACTCAAACTTTGCTCAAGGGCCAACTCTGCTTAGCCCAATCAGGGTCTTGCTAAGGAGTGCTGACCTGTTCTGCATATGTCTTGCATGATCTCTGGTCCGGGATGGCTGTGCTGCACTGGAAGGCTGTCTTATTAGCAATGTGAACATTTTGTGCTGCCTCACCGACTCTCTCTATACTCAATTCTGCCCTTCCTGGGCTTTTTGTTCTTTGGCCAGCTGTGCCTGTGATCTCCAGGCTGTGGTGATCAGAGGGCATAAATTCCTTGCCCCACTTTCCCAGGAAAAGGACTACCTAATTGGGGTCTGAGCTGAAGTGGCTCTTCCTGTATTGAGATCCTTTGTGTGTTTTCATTAACTATGCTGTGTCATCACACAAGCAGTGGAGGCGGTGGTGGCACCATCCATTCGTTCATGATACATTTATTAAGCACCTACTTATGTTCCAGGCGTTGTGCTGAGTGCTGAGGTTGCCATGGAGACCAAGATCAAACTTGTTCCTGCTTTCATAGTTTACTGTTTTAGAATGAATCAGACACATAAAGAGGCAGTTGCAATACAATTTGATAAATATTCTGATAAGGCAATAACAAGTATTTTGAGAGCACCTAAAAGGGGCAACTACCCCAGACTCGAAGGGCTGGGGTGAACCCTGGGAGAAGTGGCATCTGAGACCTGAAGGCTGTCTAGAAGAAGCTAGGCAGGCAAAGAGGTTGGTAGTTGGGTAGTAAGGAGGAGAAAGTGTTCAAGAAAGAAGGAATAGCAAATCCAAGGGCCAACAGACAGAAAAAGCATGTAACACCTGGGCAGCCGTGATTAGATCAGCATAGCTAAAGCAAAGTTTGCAATAACTGTGGCCAGATATTATGCTGGTGAGCTGAACAGGAATGGAGATATGAAGGGCGGCTATCATTTAATCTTTCTATGTACCATGTAGGTACCACTTGCCTTCATAGACTAAACTACTGTTGCTTGAATATATAGGGGCAGGGATGAGGCTAAGGAGCAACATTTGTTGAGTCCTGGTACGTGTTGGGGATGATGGATAATCTCGGAGACCTTTCATTCCAGACTCCAGTCCATACCACTTAAGGGCCCCGACCCAGCCAAATGCCTTCCTCCTTCAGGTAGAGTCCCTTGTGGCTCAAGATACACCAGAGTCTTCCATCTGTTACTGCCCGCAGTGATCTCCACTCTGAAAACTGGCACCCTTAGTCAAGGTCACCTCTGCTACTTCTGCTGCTGCTGCTTCCACAGCCAGACCTGGCCTCTATTGCTGGGATTAACCTGAGTGTACCACTAGCTACTGGGAACTAAGCTAGGCCTTTGACATTCATCAACAGCCCTACAAGGTAGAGGTGCTTCTTTCCATTTGCGCAAATGGGGAAACTGAGGCTCAGAAACATTAAATTACTTGTTGCAAGCCACAAAGCTTTAAGTGGCAGGGTTGAATTTGAACTTCATTTAATCCCAAAGCCACTACCACACAACAGTTTCTCTTTCCCCATCAGGCTTGTAGTTCTTACTGAGATTCCTTGAGTCTGCTCCTTTGGTTTTCCTATTGACCCTTTTCTTCAGCATGAGTCCCCAAATGTTGGGCCAGAGGCTTTTCAGAGGTCTCTGCAAGAGTTTTCCTTAACCTCTCACAAGGAAGAACTGAATTCAGACATCTCAACCCCGGAGGGCATGTTCAATGACCAACAATAGCCTGCCCTGCCCAGCTCTATCTCCAAGATTGGAGGCAGCCTCCCACTCCCTACTTTAACAACAGCAGTACTTTCTGACTTTGGCTAGTATTCTTAAATTCCCCTCAGAGAGTCTGGTGATGTTTTTATTCAAATAGATATTTAGGCAGCCCTTGGTACACCTGAACATCCTAAGTATGATTTGCAGATGAGGTTCCCTCTTCGTCTCTCTACCCAGACTCTTACTGCGTGCTGTTTTTCTATTTACTTTTATTTTTGTCACTTTCTTTCATTATTTTAATGTTCAATTTCTGTACTAAATAAAATAAGATTTTTCTGTTCTTCTACTCCTTCCTGCCTCTTTCCTCAAACACCAGTAAGGCCCAGGGACAAATCTTATGGATTCTACCAGTGGAGATGAATGTGTTCACTAGCCAAGGCTCCAGCTTCAGATAAGAGTAGTAATGCATCAATCACCAGGCTTTTATTAAGTGTCTCTTCACTAAAAGCATAGCTCTCCCTGCAGCCAGACAGCCTTGGCTCTGCACTCCTGAAGGTAATCTGGACCCTGTCACTAATTACTCTTCTTCCCGGCAGCAAGTAGAAAAGGCAATTTTCAAATTGTTTCTATTGATCACAGGGCATTTTCTCCAGAATATCACTCTCTATAAAAAGGGCATGCAATTATTTCCAGCTAACACAGTCAAGATATTTTATAGAAGAAAAGCAGTTCGCATAGTGGCCATTCTACAACTTAGAGTCAATAGACTTGAGTGCGAATCCTGGCTCTGTCCTTTACTAGCCGTATGAATTAGGGCAAATCACTTAATCTCTTTGAAACTCACCCTCTCCTTCCATAAAATGGGAATATTAGTTCCCATTTTACACTGGGATTATAAGGATTTTACGGTGCTATTACAAGGATTAGGTTAGTAGGGATTAAATAAAACAGCATAGGTTTGACCCAGGAGGTCCTATTAACGTATTTATTATCAAAAAAAGCCCTCTACCTGTCAGTCTTCAGAACAATCTGATATATTTTCATTTGCTGCTTGGGATTATCTTTTTTCTATACAAGTTCCCATTCTTCTTCAAAAGTAGAATGTGATATTGCTTCCATATATACTCTGAATCTCATCTTTTGCAATTGTATGATAAAATGAAGGCTTAAATAAGTTTCACCTAACTTTTGGCTTTCATTTAGCCTTCTTCAATAAGATGCCTGTGTTTTCATTGCAGAATGATGAGTTGGAGTTTGTCCGAACTGGCTATGGGAAGGATATGGTAAAAGTTCTCCATATTCAGCGAGATGGAAAATATCACAGCATTAAAGAGGTGGCAACTTCAGTGCAACTTACTCTGAGTTCCAAAAAAGATTACCTGCATGGAGATAATTCAGATATCATCCCTACAGACACCATCAAGAACACAGTTCATGTCTTGGCAAAGTTTAAGGGAGTATGTGTCATTCTTCTTAGATGCTGCCTATCTTGATGCAGAATTTGCAATAAAACAGCATGAGGTGTTACTTGCTTATTTCAAGTCCCCTTTGCATTTTAACCTATTTTTACATTTAAGCCATTTTTTAAAAAAATATTCTTTTCTAGCCTACATGTCTCAGGATTGGAGAAAACTTTGCTGAAAAACAAACAAACCAACCAACCTCACATCTTTGTTTCCTTGGTTCTCATCTCACTGCAATCTTTTAGGCAGAGAATCTTACTGGACAAAATACATGTTATCTCTGATTAGAATCAAAGGAAAATCAAGGTCCTGAAAGAATTTCAGAGTAGAATTTTACACATTTTTGTCATGCATTTCTTTGAGTCTTACCATTTATTTTTAATTTTTTTTTTAGAATGGTGTGCATTTATAGAAGAAAATATCATTTCACTTCTTGTTATTAATACAGAAGAATATCTTGACTATGAGATACATTTATTTTTATTGTTGAAATCTGTTTTCCAAATTTTAATACCATTCTAATTTTCCCAACTCTATTACCACTTACTGTTCATATACAGTGGTTATTAGGACTTTTCAAGTGAGACTTAGATCTGATAGAACTGGTATTTTAGCATTTCCAGCTCTGGTTTCTTTTTTTTGCGGGGGACGGAGTCTCACTCTGTCACTAGGCTGGAGTGCAGTAGCATGATCTTGGTTCACTGCAACCTACACCTCTTGGGTTCAAGCGATTCTCCTGCCTCAGCCTCCCAAGTAGCTGGGACTACAGGCACATGCCCCCATGCCCAACTAATATTTTTGTGTATTTTTAGTAGAGACGGGGTTTCACTGTATTGGCCAGGATGGTCTCGATCTCCTGACCTCGTGATACGCCTGCCTTGACCTCCCAAAGTGCTGGAATTACAGGTGTGAGCCACCACGCCCGACCCCACCTCTGGTTTCTTTAAGTGTGATTGAAGCTGTGCTGGGTCACCCAGATTTCCGGGCAATTCAAAGTGATTTTTTTTTTTTTTTTTTACTTGCCACGAAGTCTAAAAAGACAAGAAATGTAGACTGGAAAGCTTCTTTTCTCATGTTTTTTCAAGAAATCCATACCCATAATTCATTAAATGAACAAACATTGCAATGTAATTTCTACAACTCCTATTTCTACCCTGAACCTTTCTCTTGCTAATCATAATGACCCAGCAAACATAGATGGGGCTGTGGAAAAAAGAATTGCATTCTTTAAAAAAATCATTTGAAAGTAGACCTGTACTGTGATATGGACAAGGGCCAGGTACAACAGATTCTTGTATTTCCTGTATTGTGTAGGAGTTTGCAGAAAAGTGAAGAAAGGACCCGAATGTTAAAAACTACTTAAAGTCATTCGTTATGGATAGAGTGATCGTGTAACTTCTTATCCAAACCATGACACTTTTGAACTCAAAATAGGATGCTATTCATAATTATTCTGGGCCTACAGATATAAAACAGAACTATACTGGGGAAGCCTGAACAAATACTTCACTTTAATTATAGGCAAAGCCATTAATAATTTGCAGACTGTGCTAAGACCATAAAATATTACTAGGGATTAATACGGAAGCTGCATTATGGGGGTGGAGAGCTGGGATCAATAGAAGGCCTGTATGCAAGGTACGGAAGGTGAGGTGGCCCTTCATTAACGTTCCTTGGGAAACTGGGAAGCCTCATAGAGTTCAGAGTGTTATAGTGTGCTGTGGTTGGTACAAGTGATGACTGAACTCACTGTGAGAAGAATCTGAATGTTAAGTTATTTTTTGTTCATCCGCTGACACACCCTCTCCTGCAAAATGGGTTTCTTTTAAAAACAGAAGAGTCTCATCTGGTGATGGTGATTATTAACTTCATTTGGGAGCTCTAGTAAAAAACTGAGATAAACACCTTTTTCTCTTGAGATAGACTCTATTCTGTGCTTGTCTAGTTCTAAAACACAATTCATCAGGAAACAGAACATCATGAGCAATATCAAAAGATAAAATTACAACAAGTTTAGTTATAGATTGAATTGGTTTCTATTTACCATTAGGGATAGCTTCTGTTCTACAAAGAAGAGTAAGAGCTTTCACCGGGCAAGAACAGAACATTGGGTTTTGTAAGATGGGAACAAGAAACAGAACAATGGAAAAAAAAACTGATTGGTTAACATCAGGTTTCAGATTACTTTTTTGGTAAGAGTTAAAGCAGAGGGGACTTCCTTATTATGCTGACTCAGATAGACTGGAATCTTCTGTTTTCAGGAAAAACTGGTCTGTTTTGGTATCTATCTGCTTCCTTAAAGCTTCAATTTGATTATGTGGCATTTAGCATAAGTGACTCCATTTTGGTCTGGTCTGTTGGGGCCTAATGCAGGAACTTAGTCCAAAGCGATGACCTCCCATAATTTCATTTAACAGTATTTATAAATTATTTTTAAATGGTACAATTATTTCTGGTTTGAAGCATCTTGTTTCTTTTTACAGATCAAAAGCATAGAAGCCTTTGGTGTGAATATTTGTGAGTATTTTCTTTCTTCTTTTAACCATGTAATCCGAGCTCAAGTCTACGTGGAAGAAATCCCTTGGAAGCGTCTTGAAAAGGTTAACTCACTTATTTGTGCTCTCAGTTTAATTAAAGAAATTGGCTTTATGGCATGTACTGAAATTTTCCTGGAAATAATTTGTTTCCCTAATTTTCAGAATGGAGTTAAGCATGTCCATGCATTTATTCACACTCCCACTGGAACACACTTCTGTGAAGTTGAACAACTGAGAAGTGGTAAGAAACTATTTTTCATGCTTTGATTCTATAGTAGCAACTTCAGGGTGGTTTTGTTTTCTTTTTTCTTCCTTTCTTCTAAACAATGCTCTTTATTAACATGGAGGAAAACTGTAGAGAATTTTTAAGACTTTTAAATCTGAGATAGAAATGAATATTGTGACTTTGAATTACATTAAAGAATTATCTACTTTTTGTGTTAAAATATAAAAATGAAATAATTAATTTTGCAACAACCCTGGGGATTGAGTCAGGTAGATCATTTTTATTACCAGATTTTGAGGTAAGGCAAAATTTAAAAAGGCCCAGGCTGAAAAGAACCCAAATCTCTGAATTTTCTGACCAATATTTTTTGTGCCATATCATGTCACAATTATAGTAACCTTCATAGGAAATATTTACTAAGTAATAGTCAAGTTTTCCTGAAATTTTATTTGTGTAATAAAACCACTAATATTGTAATTCCTATAAAATGTATCTCATTTAAGTTAGCAATGGCAATTATATAATTCTATTTGCTAGGAAATTTCAAAATTAATTATGAAACACAATTATAACATAGGTGTTATTAGTACTGATAACTGAACTTAGCAAATATTAAAATTTCCACAGCTTGTATTCCACAGATTTGTTGAGCTTGTCAGAGTTCAAAAATTGGCTAAGAGTTAGACTAGAGGACCTCTAAGAACCATGGAGCCAAAGCTGGTAATAATGTCTTTATCTCAATAAAAAAAAAAAAACTTCAATGGTTGTTATAAAATGAAAGGGTTGACTCTGAAATTTTTCTATTTTCCTTCCCTCCCTTCTTTACTCTTCCCTTTTTTTTTCTTTGCTGTTCTCTTCCCTTCCTCCTTAGTAGGAATTTGGAGTGGCATCTAATAAATATCAGATTTATTATAAGGTTAATAAAATATAAGGTCCCTTCTCATTCTGAGTTCTTTTGGATAATGCCCTCCTTAGGAAGTTCTAGTGTATTAGCTATTTTAAAATATTTTCCACTATCTGAATTAAAGTCTATACATAACTAGGGCCTTCTCAATGTTTGATATTTATAAAATTAATGTTATAAAAACAGTTATAAAATTAATGTTAGATAAAAGAGACTAAATAGTTGTTGTATTTGGTGGAAAAGATGATCTTTATCACCCAGGTGTGTAGTCATATGCTATATTAGCTTTCTGAGCTATTTGTTAAGTTAAATTGGAACTAAATTCTTTCTTTCCTTCCCTCCTCTCCTTAGCCCTTCCTTCCTTCCTTTCTGTCTCTCTGGTTCCTTCTTTCTTTCCCTCTCCCTTCTCTTCCTCCCTCCCTTCTTCCTTCTTTTCTTCTTCCTTCCTTCTTGTCTTAGATATACAGCTTTGGAGGAGAGAGAAAGAAGTTTCCTGACTCAGTGCTATCCTACCCAAGCCTCATTAACTGCCCTCATAAAATTAGAAACTCGAAATCAGCTCTGCCCAACTAAAGTATAATGTAAGCCATATATGTAATTTTAAATTTGTTTTCATAACCACATTAGAAAAGCAAAAAGAAATTAGGGAAATTAATTTTAATAATATATTTTATTTAAATAGCATCAAAAATATTTCAGTATGCAATAAGTATAAAAATTACTAATGAAATACTTTACACTCTTTTTACAAAATTATCTTTAAAATTCTATATTTTATATTTGTAGCTTATCTCAAGCTATGCTAGCCATAATTCAAGTACTTAATAGCCACATGTGGCTTAGTGGCTACTGTACAGATCAGTGTCACTTGGAACTGCTTTTTGGTGACTTTTGGGATATGCTTTTTAACATTTGTTACATTTTTCAATTATGTGAAATCATAACAGCAGCTAGGATTAGGCCTCAAGAGAGCTAATTAACAATGAGAGCATTTATGCAAAGTGCTTATGTCATTCATTCATATACTATTCATTCAGCAATTAGACTTTGAGGACCTATCATGTATGCAAAGGGCTGTAGAGAAAGAGAGGAATAAGATGTTCCCTGACCCTAGTCAGACAGATTGACTGCAATATGAGAGGCTAAAGACTATGATGAAGGGATTAAAAGCATGCTATGGGAACTGAGACGTGGAAGAAACTCTTTCCAGAGCAGTCTGTCTGGAAGGCTTGACAGGGGAGGAAAAAATATTCCAATTGACTTTTGAAAACTGATTCAGAATCTGCTGCGCATTGAAGGAGGAAAGGGAATTACAGGCAGAAGAAACAGGATACATATGAGTATAATCCATGAGGAGTGGAAGAGGGGAAGTAAAATATTTTGAGCACTTGCCTCATGCTGAAGACTATGCAGGGGAAGTAATTTATTTAACTGTGGAAAGGGCAAAGCATTTAAGGGACAGTAACAAGTTCAGTGGGTCTGATTTCTAGAATGTAAGAAGGGAGATGAAGATAAATAAGTTGGTGGTTTGGGCTGGAATCTGAAGGGCCTCATGTGCTATACACAAGTTTAGTATAAGATGGAGGCAGTTTTGCACAGTGGTGAAGCAAGAGGCCTTGAGATCAGAATGAATCATATTTGAATTTGAGCTCCACTACTTAATAACTTTGTGATTAAGAGCAAGGTTACTTATACTACATTGGTGGGTGGGTTTTAATTTGTAAAACAGGGATACCAGTGCCCACTTCAACAACTGTCCAGGGAAACAAAGGAGATAAATGCTGAATTTATTTTATTAAAGCATTTAGCATAGTACTGGGCACACCGGAAGATCTCCTTAAATAATAGCTATAGTTATTGTTCAGAGTGACAACAGAGAACCAGAGAAGGTCTCTAATGGTCAGATTAGTATGTGCATGTTTTTGTTCCGAAATTCTGAACAAGGTATGGTGACAGGCTAGAAAAACAGGCAGTAGTGAGACATTTGGAGACTTCTTGCAAAGATGAAGTGATTGGGTCTAAACTAAAGCAGTAGAAATAGAGCTGGAGGGACTGAGAGGTTGTAGGAAGCATTATGTGAGACATTTTTGAAGTGTAATCAATTGGTCTTAGTGGTTGAGTAGGGATGAAAGATTGGAGAGAAAGAGGAGTTAAAATTGATCTTAATGTGGGAGGACTGGACAACTGACTAAAGAGATTACACACAAGGGAAGTTTTCAGGTGGGAAGCTGGTGAATGTGGGACCATGTGATGGAGATAGATTTGGGGCACATCAGCAGATTGGTGGCAGGTGAAGCCACAGCAGATTGGGGGTAGGTAAAGCCATAGTGAAGAAGGAGACCGTTCCAGAAAAACATACCAAGTGAGAAGAGTTTGAAAGAGGAGATGGCCTGAGAAAAATTCCCCACTGTAAGGGTTGGGCAGTTTAAAAACTGAGACAGAAGAATGTTTAGAGAGATAGAAGGAAGATGAGGGATGATAGTGTCATGGAAGCAGAAGAAAAAGACATTTCAGGAAATTAGGGATTTCTGAGTTACTGAGGAACCAAGATGCATAGCAAATACGCCCATATGCAGTGGCTCAGCACTAGAAGTTTACTTCTTTTTGTAGAAGTCCAGTTCAGTATCTGTGTGTGGGGTTAAGGGGGTCAGGTGGATGCTGTGCTCCATGAAGTTCTTCAGGAACCCAGGTTAGTGGCAGCTTTATATTTTTAATCCTTCCTTTTTGGTGTCATCTTGAGAATAGACCCCCATACCAGACAGCCAAAGAAAGAGCTTGGAGGAGCCAAAGGAGGGGCAAAGTCCCTGAAGCATAAGCTCCCGGCCTGGAAACAGCATGGATCATTTCTACTGGAGAGAGCTCAGTCACATAGTCACACCTCACTGCAAGGGACACTGCAAAATGTCATCTAGCTGAGTGCCAGGAGGAAGAGCAAGTAGATTTCGCCTCTGCCACAGGAGATTTAAGAAGTTGGGGTTCTGAGAGGACTGATGAGAAACTATGTTGTCAATAAATAGGCGTCACTGGTGACTTCCCAGAATACTTTTAGTAGAGCCATGGAGGTGGAAGTCAAGTGGCCAAGTATAGGGCTCTGCTGATCACAAAAGGAAAACGGACTTCTCTTTATATCCCGTTCTTTCCAGGAATGACCAAGAGTTGCTATCAGCTTGAATTCTAATCACCTGGCTGCAGCTGAGTGGGAAAAGTAGCCACCATAATCAGGTTAAAACTTTTTCTTTCTGCAGAAAGATACAAAGCTTCAGGGTATTGAGATCATTGTGGCAGTGTTCCCAGAAGCTCCAGCTTGACTCATCTAGAGTCCAGCCTCCAACTCCCCCTCTGATTTCATGCAGGGCTGGCAGGGATTGGGGTAGCGGAAGAGACATCTGTTGCCTTAAGTGTATACAGGTATGTGTGTACACATGTATATGGGTGTGTGTATCTTTCAGTGTTGGGTGTATGAAGGTGACATTTCTACTCTGTCCCTCTTCGGAGAGTAGGGATGTATGCTCTTTTGGTAGCAAAGTTTAGTTCTTTATTTGCTTATTATCCAAGAGCTGAAACTGTAGGAATCGTAATGTGAGAGAATGTTACAATCATTATCCTAAGAAATGCCCTTGTAAAGGCTTAACTAAAGAAAATAGTAATTATATTATACACACAACACTCACAAATTCACATGGTGAAGGCTGTTGTTACAAACACCTGAGTAGTGCTTTGGTGGGGGACTGGCTAGAATGGTAAGACTTCTGCCCCCTCAAACACATGTGCTTAATCACATGTTCAGTCATGCCACTCCCAAAAGGACTCTTCCCAGGAGGAGGTGTGACTGGGTGTCTCCCGATGGACTATATTCATTCTTACATAGCAAATGAACAAACATTTCTAGAAATCCTACTGAACCTCAAGCACCACTTTAAGCCCTGGGAATTGCTCTAAAACTCCCATTACACTGTTTCTTCCTAGCGGATCTTTTACAGCTCCATCACTAGGCTGTATTTTAGTTGTTTCAAAGCCTGCTGATTCCACAGGAGAATCTGGAAGACAGAAATAAATTTGTTTGCCCAGAGGATTGAGGGCTGGTGTTATGTTTGTGACTTCTCAAGCCCTGAGAGGAGAACTAGGCCCTAGGTGTATGATGCAGGCTGTTGGTTTAGGTATCATATGGCATCGAATCTTCGGAACTCTTTCTGTCATTTATCAGTGAGAAACTACAAGCTTAACGGAGCTTTAAGTCATTGGTATGATCGAGTCACTAATTTGAACTAAATCGACCCCCAAACCTCTGCACTATTTGAATTATAACTCACAATTTCTTCAGCACCGAGTTTCTCCCATTTGACGCTAATTATGAAATTCAGCTAAAGCATGGCTAAACAGAGGAATGGAAGATGGAAAAGAGACCTCAAATACTAGACTGTGTCTTCTGGTAGTGAAAAATACTTTCTATATATCTATTGACATGAAGGGTAGTGAGGGTAGGGGGATGGTTGTAAGGAAGGCAGCTGATGAAATCCGTCCTGGAGGAGAACACATTTAAGAGGTGACAAGATGGGCAGATGGAAGAAGTGAGATGGGAGAAGTGGGAGATCCAGGACAGAGATGGCTACTGCCAAGAAGTCTGTTTATGTCCTTCTGATATCAAGACTAAAGTGCTCTTCGGTTCCTTTGTAAGAAAAATTCTTGGCAGATTTGTGGTCTTTAAAAATCTTCTTGATCATCACCTGGTTGTACAAAAGCCCAGTTAATTTCCTACCATCGGGATGATGTCATCTCTTTCCATCCAGAATTGCACAGAGGGAGCTTTCACTCTCCCTGCATGAGGTAAATGGACTCTCCAAGGCAAATATTTAATCGATCTTTACTTTTTCTAGCACTTTACAAGTTTGAGATTTTCTACTAGAATGATTTAATATGGTTTTAAAATATCTGCCTTTCAGCTATTTGTGTCCTTTTTGGAGGTGTTAAATGTGGAAGCAATTATCCTCTTATGACAAGATCTTTTTCTTGGCTCAATAAAGCTTTGTGCTTTGTGACACCTGATGCGTAGGTAAGGAATTGGGCTTATTTTCTATTAATTCGCAGTGAGTTTCTTTCCCTTAGATAGCTAAAGGGTAGGATGTATGATTCTCTGAGAGATAAGCCACAATCTGCTAAGTGTGTAGGAGGACACTAAAAGCTAGAAAAGATTATGTTCTAGCAAAGTGAAATGTGAAAAATCTTTCTTTTGCATTACTCCATAACCATGGCAGAAAAACAAAACAAAACAAAAAAGCTGATTAAGTGATTTCATGGGGCGTAACCTAGAAAAGGACAGTTTTTGAATTACTACTTGTTAGTCTAAATGGGAATCTTTTTTAGAGGGTGTGAGGCATCATATTTTTAGTTGATGGGCCCATGATTTTGAAAGCCTCAGGTTCTTACCAATGTTCAGAAAGCTGGGGCACTGCCAACAGAGAAGATAAAATAAGCTCTCTGATTTCATCCAGCATGTCTGATGTGTGCCAGGGAAAAATTCTTTTAACATTCAGAGAGAATCATTTTTGTTGTTGTTGTTGTTTTTAATAGAATGATGAGAGCATCAGAGTAGCTGGTTTGTGTTCTGCCAAAACTGTGGCAATAGTTAATTGTCTTGGGGAACATGAGACATTTTATTCTGTGTGAAACTGATGCCAAAACACATTTTAAAAATACAACTGCTTTCTCCATTTTTAGATTCCAGTGAGAAAGCAGATCATTTCAAAGTGGCCTAGTAGGACTGACACTCCCTTAAGGTCAATAAATCTTATCCTAGGGCTGGAGATGGATAGGACGGCACATTAGAAGTAGTTTTTAGAACCCAGTAAGACTTTGTGAAACGTGGGAAATATTTATAAGTTGTCGAAGTCACTGTGAAAAAGTCAATTATGGCAAAATCATCATCATCACATTTGTAGAGCATTTATGTAGGTCAGCCATTCTACTAAGTCCTTTAGTGCATTCTCTTAGACATGTGGCAGCTGTAGGAAATAGGTATGATTATCGTCTCCATTTTACAGATGACAAAATCAAGGTAGAGAGAGGGTAAAAAAATTCCCTCAGGAGCATGGAGCTCATAAAAATGGGGGTTGAGGATGCAGGGAGAGCACTGGGATTTGAGTTCTAGGAATCGGAGTCTTAAAGCCATCGATTCAACCACTATGCAACATTGCACCCAGGAATCCTTTTACGGTTAACACCATTGGACGAGCCAAAGTTTGACTGGCTCACACAGATGCCAGCAGTCAAGGCCAGATGAATAGGAAGAAAACAATGTAGATAATGGTTGTCTTTGGTTCTTTTTCGCCTTCTTTTTATTCTCCTGCAAGGGTTTCATTTTAACCCCACTCCTGACTGCAAACCCATGTTTCATTTCTATAGGATTTTGTTTTCTAGAAAGGCTTACCATGGGAAGTAGATTATCATAGTACCTTACAAAGGCTTAATGAGTCACTCCCTTAAGGGATATTTATTTGCATTTCAATAGGAAATGTTTAAGGAATACAAAGGTTTTTAGATACCCAGGAGCCAACTCTAAAAAGTGATTATTCAATCTCAATTTCTGGCCAATGGAGATAGTCTTTTTCAGGCAGGGTGCTCTATCTGAGGTCCTTAAAGCCACTGTGGATAGGAGGTGGCAACCTTGTCTCCTGGAAAGGCCACTTATAGAACACAAATGGGGAAAGGGTCAAAGGAAGGAGGAACCATTGCATAGATGGGAAGTGATCCAAAAAGCGGAAGAAAAGCATGGGATCTCATAATGTGGTGCTGAGTTTAAACTCCACCTCTGACAGTTTCTAGCCATGTGACTATGGGCAAATGATTAAAAGTCACATTAAAATACTTGCTTTATAGAGTTTTGGGAACTAAGTAAGATAAAGACTGAAACTGCAGCAACCAAAGGTACGTCTACAGAAAGGAGTTTCTTAGCCAAGGTTAATACCCTTCCTTTCACGCCCTGCCACACTGTGTGTGAGTTGGAGGGGACCAGGAAGGGAAATGGTAAAGTTTGCTGGGGCTGAACTGTCTAGTAAAGAAAGATACTAAGTTGTGCAATACTTAATCCTTGACATGAATCAATCTTGCTAAACTCATTCATTCATTCAACAGATACTTATTGATTGTTTCTGTAGTTCTACTGGGTTTGAGGCTCACACTCACTGCATGTAACAATGTTGATTTTGTGAGATCATGACTTTATACATTTAGAATCCGATAAGCTCAGCCAGCTGAAGGCATTAAGGCATCGCTGGTATCTTTCTCTTGCTCCTTCTTCAGATGTAGCTTCCAGTAAGTACTTCAGAAAGTTAAACAAGGATGATTTCCTGTTTCACTGCATTATCCTGGGACATTCTGCACAGAATATCTTCTTTAATCAGGACATATCTGATTAAATGTTTTATCTGATAGGTGTATACTGAAGCATGGAAAATACAGAAATATAGACTTTATTTACCTACTTTTGAAACTCCACAGCTCCTGAGTTAACTGTAGCAATGGAAATCACATAGGTGATGTAAACCATTGCATTTTTAAGCACTTCCTTGGATTTTAATTGAGGATCATGAGTTATATTCTTGTTCTTCAACTAAGACCATGTGTGTAATGATACCTGACACCTCTGGCTCTTGATTTTTAGATTAAACATACCAAAAAGAATAGATATTGGTCGGAACTAACAAAGAGACTGAAAAAAAGGTTTTTTAAATAATCATGCCATGGCACTTTGCTATTAGGGTTTGTCAAGTGCTCTCTGAATGTCCCCAATTCTTGCCAGCCTGTGCAGACAAATAATGTCATAGTAATGTTAATACTGTTCTTTTTTAGATGACACCTGTCACTCTTCCACCTGCCCCATTACCTTATGAAGGGGCAGTAGAGACAGAAGGAGAGCCATATCATCCCTTCCATTGTTTTCAACTCCCCACTCTCTCCCTCAGGTACCCATGAAACAACTTTGTCCCTTCTCCTTCAGCAGAAAAAACAAAAACCTTTATAGATATCAACTTAGGCAGATCTATCCCTTGTGAGTCACCAGCTCCATCTTCCCTGTCTTATTTAGGCTCAGCCAGGCCCACACTGCTACCCATTTATGAAGCTGCCTGGTTTTGCTGAGCTGATAACCATAAGGGAACTGGGATGCCATCACAGCCTAGTGGAGATTGGGATCATCAGCTACTGTAGCTGATCAGCATGAGCACTACCCCCAGTAAAGGGATCACAGTAGCAGGTAGAGGAATGGCTCTTAAGGACCTTATTAACACATTCCAGCATGATCACCTGTTGGAGGAGATGGAACTCAAAATACATGAGGTGAGTTGGCCAAGAAGACACTCCCGCATGTAGTTGAAAGGAATGTATTCATTTCTGTGACCTTCAATACACAATGGAGTTTAATCTTAGACCTTCAGATTTTCTAGGGCAAGACAGGGCAGGGAGTCATGGAATCCGAATGGAAGCAAAGGCACACTATCCTCTTCACTGGGACTTCAGAGGAAGTAGGATGACAGAAAACATGGGCGGTGATGTAGTTTTTGTACAGAATGTGTCATGTTTTAATGACCAGGATCCTCTGTGCTAGGTATCAGCAGCAAGGCACTGTTTGTTTATGACCTCTGCCACTCCTGACTTTCTACTTGAAACAGGACCCCCCGTCATTCATTCTGGAATCAAAGACCTCAAGGTCTTGAAAACAACACAGTCTGGATTTGAAGGTTTCATCAAGGACCAGTTCACCACCCTCCCTGAGGTGAAGGACCGATGCTTTGCCACCCAAGTGTACTGCAAGTGGCGCTACCACCAGTGCAGGGATGTGGACTTCGAGGCTACCTGGTATGAACATGTGCACGCCGTGTCTGCCCTTGTCCCAGGGGCCCAGACTTCATAGAATCTTAGGATGTAAAAGAGAAACTTAGAGGCTATTCAACTCAACCTCCCACTATTCAGAAATCCCTTCTGTTTATTCAATTTATTAAATTGGTGGTTCTTAAACATGCATGTGCATCAGAATCACACAGAATCAGAAAACGAACCTTGCTGGGCCCACCCCCAGAGATTCTGATTCTGTAGGACTGAGGTGGGGTGCAAGAACATGCATTTCTTGCAAACTCCCAGGGGATGCAGATGCCACTGGACCAGGGACCACACTTGAAGAAACACTGCATCAAATGAAGAGAATATCTGGCCTTACTACCTCATAGTGATGCAGAGAAGGCTAAACGAGGGTGACCACTTGTTCCAGTTTGTCAGGGACTTCCTGGTTTTAACACGGAAAGTCCCATGTCTCAGGAAACCTCTTGGTTCTGGGCAAACTGGGATAATTGGTCAATCTAGGCTAAACTCAAAATGATATGATGTTCACAAAAGCATTTTATAAGCATTAAATGCCTTAAAAATATTGTCAACTGAAATAACAAACTGAGAGAGATTCTCAAAGATAATGAATTTATTTAGGAACACACAGGGAATCTGCAAATTTGTGGGCTGGCTGCAGGAAACATAGGTGTATCCTAAGATGTTGAGGCAAGGGGAAGCTTTTAAAAGCAAAAGGAAAATGTGTACGTAATTTGTTTTGAGACAAAGAGAACACTGGTTACAGTGGCTATCATGGGAGTTAACGCCAGCTCATTAGTGGAGACCGTGTCAGGCAAGTGTTCTTGTACATCCGGCTAGCTGTCCTTGTGACTCACGTCGCGAGCCGCTGTTTGAAAAGTCCTTGGCAAAATTCTTGTTACAGGCATATGTACATAAGAGCCCTTCAGAGAGTCTTTGCAATAGTTCTTACAGGCATCTGTGCATGAGGGCCCTCCCTCAGCTTCCTGGCTCTATTTATTTATTTATTTAGTGTCTGACACAAGTGACTCCATTTTGATTCTGATAACTCACAATATAAAGGTATGATTATTATTATACCCTGACAGGGAGTAATTAGACCTCTCGACTTTCAGAACTTGCTTTTTGATTAGGTATCTCATTCCTTTGCTAAAGCTCTGTAGAAATTTCTACCCTATCATAAACTAGAATCCGCATGCATACCCTTCCCCCATCACCCACTCCCACAGCATTCCCTCCCACTGGTGTAGTTTTTCTCTGCTTCTTTTATTATGTGATAGGTTTTTAAATGCATGATGAGAACGTCACCTCAGTCTTCCTTCCTTTTTACTTCAAGTGCTCTCCATGGGCAGCAGCCTGATGTATTTATGTTGAAAAGAGCATGAAATTGAACATGCCAGAGGCAGGATAGTACTGTAGGCTGGGCCTCCTACCAAAGAGAGGGACTTAGAGCAGATCATGTAACTTTTAAGCTCAGGTTCTTCTTCTCTAATTGGGGATAATAATAGTACCTACTTCAGCTATATTGAGAGAATTCAATGACATCATCACATAAAATGCTTAGCACAGAAAAATCTGTCTAATCTAAAAAACACAGAGGCTGGCACAGAGTAAACCTCCAAATGTAAAAATTCAATGAGCCAGCCAAGCAGAGCAGCAAGATGGTAAGAATACTTGGGAGTCTTCTTCTTAGGTTCTTTGAACATGACAGGAAATTTACCCTAAAATGCCCACTGGGCCCTGGTGCCAAACTATGAAGACAGCCTAGTGATGCTCAATATATTTGTTGAATGGTGTGTGTGTGTGTGTGTGTGTGTGTGTGTGTGTGTGTGTATGTGTATAGGGGAATGGGAAGTGAGGTGTTTTGTTTTTGGCATTACAAGATACTAATCTTTTCTAAAAACATCAATAACATTGTTTTCTGGGGGACAGATAGGTCACTGCTTCTTAGCTTCCTAACACATTCCTAAAATTCCTTTCAGGATCCTCAGTGACCTTCTCTGTGTTTTAGGGACACCATTCGGGACCTTGTCCTGGAGAAATTTGCTGGGCCCTATGACAAAGGCGAGTACTCGCCCTCTGTGCAGAAGACCCTCTATGATATCCAGGTGCTCTCCCTGAGCCGAGTTCCTGAGGTATGTTCTGTCAGTTGCCATTCTGAGGATTGGGAGAACGTGTGTCTTCTGTCAGCTCTGAGAAAGAGTTGAGAGTTAAAATAAGAAAGTGGAAGACACATGAAAAATGACATCTGTTGTTGTTCAAAAGCTTGTTATAGCAAGTGAGAAGAGAGCAAAAACGGAAAAATCTGTCTAACCTGAAAACACAGGCCACGGTTGTAGTCCTTGAGTTTTGTTGAAAATTGTTTGAGTCCCTTCAGCCTGCCATTGATTTAAGCCTCATATTCAGGACACTTGAATGACTTGAGGGAGAGGGGAAATTAGACAAAGGTTATGTGTTTCAGGAAAACCAGACAATGAAAGATAGATGTAGAGAGATTTCATCCATCCATCCATCCATCCATCCATCCATCCATCCATCCATCCATCTGTCCATCTACCTACTTCCCCACCCACCCGTTCATTCATTCATTTATTGAATGGTGATTATGTCTCTGGCAGCACATGAAGGATACAAAGATGAATTAGATATATTCACTACCCTCAAAGAGCTCATCATTCAGTGAACAAACAAAATAAGTAAACTAACAATTCAATAGAGAAAAGAGTATTATGAAAGTACAGAGCAAAGCAGCTAACTCAGGTATAGGAGATGGGTTCAGCCAGGTTTTCTAGAGGGAAGGATGTTTGATTTGAGTCTAGAGGTTATCTGAGTTTACTCTCAAGGGTGAGGGAGTAGGGTAGGTATGGAGACAAGAAATAGCATGATACAGTTGTTTACTGTTGAGGGTCTACCACGTGTGAATGGATATATATGAATGAATTATAGTCACTCCATATAGAAATGAGGCAGGAACTACAGGAGCCAGTCAAGAGGGCCTTTTTAGGCTTATTTATAGAGTCTGTACCTTATCCTGAAGGCTTCTGGGAGCCACCAAGGGGTTTAAGCAGGATGTTTTGTGCCAGATTTGTACTCTAGAAAAATCACTATGACAGAAGTGTGATGAATGAAAAGGTTGATGGACCATAGGCAAGGAGACATGTTGGGATCTATTTCAGAATCTTGCAAAGAGAGTCTGGGCCATGGTGGGGCTGGAGAGGAGGAGTACCATCCTTAGACCTGGACAAGAGAGACTCCGGCCATGGCTCAGCATTTTACAGGCCCCGTTAAGGCCTTCCTCTGGCTATGCCTCCCTACACTGAGTGAACAATCAGTGGGGCCACAGCAACGTACCCTGCAGAGGCCCAGTGCATTCCCCAGAATTTCCTGTCCAAATAGCCGTGAGACTACTTCTGGAACCTGGGCAAATCTCTTCTCAAGATCTGTCTTCCAGAGGGCGAATCGTGCTATTGGTGTTCACACTTAGGCCTGAGAGTAGGCAAAGGGGCAGATGTTTGCAGGAGGTATGGATGGCGCTTGACATGCAAGCTGGAGTGTCTACCCCTGTGAGTCCAAGAGAGAAGGTGGGATGGGCCAGGGGCAAGGGGCTGGCTCTTCCCATGCTGCCATGCCCCAGCATGGTATTCCAAGAAGTTAGAGAATTTTAAATTAATACCTGGCCTTCCAGGTTGTTATGAAGGGTATATTTGTCAAGTTAGAAGAGTAGAACATATTTCACTCAAAAAATTTTAGCTTGATTAATATAACTTTAAAATCTTTATACATTTGGTATGTGGGTCTCCAATTATACTCTTACTGCAGGGCCTATAAATGTTAGGTACAGGCCTGAAAGGTGGGAGTGGAATGAGGAGGAATTTAGAATGTTGACTGGCCAGTACCTGGAGGCCAGTTGGATGTCGAAGAGGTCTCCCACATTTCTAACCCGAGGAGCCCCTTCTTTTCAGAGAAACAGATGTTGTACACTGAGGGGAGAAGAGTAGACCCACCATCTAATCACAGAACTAGTAGGAGAGAACAATGTCGGGCAGTGGAGGTACATCAGAGGGTGTCTCCAAGTCAGAGAGAGAACCTGAGTAATGGGTGCAAGGGTAGGGGAGGTGAGGGTGGCTGGAGTGACAGAGATGGAGGCTCGCAGCTCCTAATGTGATGCATGCCACTATGGATTCCAGATAGAAGATATGGAAATCAGCCTGCCAAACATTCACTACTTCAATATAGACATGTCCAAAATGGGTCTGATCAACAAGGAAGAGGTAAGAGAACTTTAAATATATTTAAAGCACATCTCTGTCCCATCCCCTTCTGCCCCTTTTATAAGCCTGGGATGATAGTGTCACCGAATAAAACTCTTAGCAACTGTTGCTTTGGGGAATATTTATAGTTGCCAGTGATTACAGCCCTCTTCAATTCTGGGCCTTTCAATGCCTGAGGTTGGAGTGCCCTCGAAGTGGATGAATAATTATAGAAGGTTGGAAGTCCAAGAGAGAAAGACAGAGAAGGAACAGAGCGTGCCCAAGGAAACAACTCTGAGATCTGCTTCTCCAAAAAGTGCCATACAAGGACACAGCTTCATTATTCTCCATCATGAGGCAATGAGGAGAAAAAAAGATTCTGTTTTTCACTTTCTTCCATCATTCCTACCTTTTGATTAACTAGTCAGTTCAGTGGCATAAAATACACATAGGAAAACATGAAAGGGTATTTATGTTTCTAATTGCTATTACAGAAGGTAAGGTGCAGAAATTAATTTTTTGAAAAGAACCCTTTGTCTTGGAAAAAGCATTTCTCCTGCTTTTTTTTTTAAGCCATGGCAGAATGTTAAACCACTCAGTGTGTCTGATTAGACAGCCTGAAGTCCTGACTGGTGGGCTGGTGTGGTCAGTTCTTGGGAGATCAGAACCATTCTTCCCTCTTGGACCACATTCAGAATAAGATTTCTCAATTTGCTGCAGCTTCCCACACATTTCTATTATCTAGAAAACATTATTTTGAGTAACTTCTTTTAGTATGTGTTGGGGAGTAAGATAGGGAAGCAGCCATCTATTAGCATGGCTCTGCTCTAGTAGACTTATATCCTTTGGTGGATAAGCGCTAATGAAGGGGGTCTTCAGAAGGTCCCACATTCTGTACCTGCTGGCCCAGAAGCCTCACAATCCTTCGGGCCAGGTACCTCCTTTCTGTTTTGCGAGTAATGTGGGTGGCCTCTAGCAGGCTTTGAACACCATCAGCTGCAGGTGGAGGCTGGGGGAGTCACATCTGGAAACAAAGATCATGCTTAGGTGCCCACATAGGTGGTCTAGAGTTCTGAGTTGCTGAGGAGAGCAACCTTGGTCCCACATGTTGTACATCCAGCCACAAGGAGAGGCAGCACTATTTACTTTAGAGGAAGGAAAGGATATGGCTACCAGAATGTCATTCATTAGAATGTAAAGTCTTTTTAAAGTTTTCTAAAGGGCAGAAGAGGGACCTGAAAGTAATCCTGGCCAAGTCCACCAGAGGCTAAACAAATGGACCCTAAATAGAAAAAAAGGATCAGGTGTCATGGCTGGAGCAGTGCTTAGCTCAGAACCCCAGGCAGAGAGAGGAGGCCTCCTGAGGGCCCCCGACACCTCAGGTCTGCACTAATCCCAGCGTGCTGGGGGGCCGCGCCCACAGGGTTCTTCCCTCTAGGAAGTCAGACTTGCAGCTCCCTCGTGGAGCCCAGCTGGGGACTTGGAGTCAGGAAGGCCTGAGTTCCTTTGGGTCAGGGCTCTACATAAAGGCACCTGAGTGGCTGAACAAGCTGTCCTTGTGTCTGAACTTTGAGGATGGCTGGAGCCACTCTTGGACTCTCACCCAGCAGGTATGTACAAAGTGAACATAACACATGAGAAACAGGAAGTTGGACAAATTGACACCAGCAGAGAAGTGACAAATGACAGGGTGGGAAGATGGAAGAACTCTAAAAGCACTGCTATCTGGAGGCACTTAGAATTTAGAATTCTATAATTTAGAATTGAGTGAACAACCCTGCAGACCTCAGACATTTCTGAGGGCATGGTGATCTTACAGCATTGGACAATGACTCATGGTCAAAGTGAGTCACCAAGGAAAGGTCAATTGTGCTCAATACACTGCATTTACAAAGCAGGGATATGGAACGCATTTTTAGAAACATTTATATCTCAATGATTAACATTTTTCAAAAGCTTTTAAATTTTCTAGAAAATTGACTCATCTCTCAACTATTGCCAGAATAATAAGGCATTACCATGCTTGAAGTAACTTTAATGGAGGACAAATACATTTTCCTGTTTAGTAAGTTGTTTTTGTTTTTAATATTGAGTCATAGAAAGGAGGAGAGAGCTATTTTAATGTCCCTTAAGTTACCATGTGGTTTTTCTACAGGTCTTGCTGCCATTAGACAATCCATATGGAAAAATTACTGGTACAGTCAAGAGGAAGTTGTCTTCAAGACTGTGACATTGTGGCCACCCATAGGAGTCCACTCTCAGCTGAGGAATTCCTTAAGTCATTTGTGATGCTGGAGATGATAGCATGTAGCCATGTAAAATTTCGCACTAGTATATTGATTTATAGTGTTCACTTTCCTCCAATATGAAACAATTTATTTCTTCTACACTTGGCTCAGCAAGGCATTCTGTGGATTACCTTATTAGTAATTATAACATGCTTTATGGCTATAGTTTACTTTAAAATGCTGAGCAGTATTAGGACAGTTATAAATCAATATTTCTTTTTGGTTGTCTTGTGCCTTCGTATCTTAGAGAAGCTTTAGAATCAATTCATTAAGAAAATAATCATTAATGGGTGTGTCACATCAATTAATTTGTGCACAGTTTTAAGAAACAAATAATGTTTTCATCTTACTGATGCTTCTAAGTAATGCAGAAAATGAAATAAAATTATATTGAAAAATATCACCGTTGTTACTTCATTTGACTGAATATTTGATTTTAAGAATGCTCTAGCATATATATCATTGATTATTTGTTTCCACTCTGATGGTACTTCTGTGATCTTAAGGTATTGATTTTAAACTTTTTCAATCCTTAGAGAATATTTAATACATATGAGGGTACTGAAAATGAGTATAAATTGTTTTTCTTTGAATAATGCATCCATTATATGCATGAAATGTCACATTTAATAAATGTTAAGACAATATACAGATGGGTGGATGTACATTTAGAAAGAAGACCAGAGAGTATATATGTGAAAATATCAGCAATGACAATTTCTGGATGATGGGATTATGAGTGATTTTTATTTTTCACCATGTACTTTTCTGAATCTTTCAAATATGAACAATTATTCCTCGTATAATCAGAGAAACAAATATAGTTGATGATTTAAAGATGCATACAGATTTGAAGGCTGATTATATCAATTGACTAACACTACCATTGTATACATATAATAAAACTTCACAAATTACAACTTTAGAAACCCATGATGAAAACCTGTCCACATGAACATTCTGGGTAACCTCTTCCATTAAAAAAAATCTTCATTTAAAAGATAAAATCAAATCTTCATTTTTAAGAATTGCGTACATATGAGCCCTTAGTATTATATATTAATAAGACTTCATTCACCTTTATAATACTACTACTTAAGGTTGCATGGTATAGTGGTTAATTGCACAAACTCATTTAAATCCTGGCTCCACCTCTCAGTAAGTATAAGACCAGTTTCTTCATCTGTAAAATGGAGGTGAAAAGAGAATCTACCTCATAGGTCTTTTGAGGATTAAATGAGTTTATGCTTGTAAAGTGCTATGGTAGTATTTGACCTGACACAGAAATTTCTATATATGTGTTTGTTGAATGTAATAAATGCCTGCCTTCTTTTCATTTGTTATTAGGCCCACATAGAAAAGCCATCATTGGCCTCTGGGTCAGGCAACAGATGGGAGGTGTTGAGAGCAGCAAACCCTACAAGATGCTGGAGGCCATTCACAAGCAAGTGCCTGTTTGGAAAATAACGTGGGATAAGAACAATGAGATAATTTGATGAGGAAAATGTTGTGCTACATTGAATACTCATGTCACAAAATGTGCTTCTACATTATGTAACTTACATGGTCAAATGACTGGTACATTTTATTCCTCTGCTAATTTGTTAATTCTGTTCCAAGAGGAAAGAGTCTAACATGACTTTTCAAAAACAAAAAACAAAACAAAACAAAACCCCCAACTTAATTAGGCCTTTCTTACTTGATGTTCCCTTACTCTTGTAAGTTTTAGAAACACTGTATTTGCTTCAGAGAAGAAACCCATGTTAGTACAGAATCCTTAGAAATTGTGGCCCATTTATACATATGTGCATTTTGCTTCTCCTGAGCTCTTAGCACATTTACTGCGATAGATTGCAAATGAGCTATTGGATGTTATATCCCAGGTGTGTGGCAGGAAAGCCTGTAGTATGTGAAATTTTCAAGGACCAAGTTCCTGTTTTGTGAAAGATGTTTCCTTCTTAGAATTGTGAACGATGGGGCTGAAAGCCAGCTTTGGGTTTCACCCGTTCCTTTCAGTTTGGCAGAGGGGCAGGCAGAACTGAACTGTAAACACCTGTGAAGTAATTTGTTTTAAAAACACTTCATGATTTTGCTAGGAAGGCTCCAGGGATTCAGTTCCAGTTCTCTGGGAAGCAGAGTTGCCCTTACAACACTCTCCTCTCTCCTTACTCTCTCTCTCTGCTTACCGCAACCCTATCTTAAGTACTTTCATGGAGGAATCGTGCAGGTGGTTCCAAGCCCACGTGCTGCCGGGGAGGCAGTTTCCATGGCATTCAGTGGAGCGCGCTGTCATGTGGGGCTTGTGGTTTTGGCAGCCAAGATTCTGCCTAAGGTTTGTTTCATATTCTTTAAATTTCATCTCATAATTTTCATAGTGACAGACTCAGAAAATATATATCCTTCCTTTTCCTTTTTAGAGTCAGACTTAAGTTCATACCATTCCTTATTTTTAGACACCAATGTTTTCCCTCTCTTTTTTCTACCCCAATATAGAAGCATAATAAGTCTTTTGAGACAACATTTTACTGATTTGTCATTGTAACAGAATTTACCTTCTTCAATCACCTGCAGATTTTAACTAGAGAAATTTGAACTTTTTCCTAACCTCTTTATACTTTGTCCAGAAGGAGCATTTCCTTTCCTCCAGACTCTGAGGTGTGTGGAGTTGGCCCTTTGCAGTCGCCTTTGCTAGACCTTTACAACTTCTGCTTTCTTGTCTGCACTCTTGAGGAAGCCAAAGCTTCTTCCCAAAGAGATGAAGCCTTCTAACCAGACACACAGGACCCTTCCAGCTTCCACATACTTGAAACTTATTCTCTGTATGTTTCACAGTCTTAGCACTTGTTTCTCTTAGAGCTTAGCTACCTGTCATTTTTCCATTTTCCCAGACTCCCTCTCAGAAATTCTTAGTTTTGTGGATCCTATTAAGACCCTATTGAGAATATGATGGCTATGGACCTTCTTCCCAGGAAAACGCTCATTCATGTCTCTACCTGCAGGTGCCTCTACCTCTGCTAAGGAAGTAGTTCACACATTATCTTTAAAGTGTAAAGGATTCCAATAGAAATCTGCCACATGAGCAATATATTCAACCAAACTTAGAAAGTATACTGCTCACCTTTACATAATAAAGAAATAAATGTAGTATTAGTTTCCTTAGGCTGCCACAACAAATTACCATAAACTTGGTGGTGTAAAACAATAGAGATTTATTTCCTCATAGTTCTAGAGGCCAGAGTCCAAAATCAAGATGTGGGCAGTGTGCTAACTCCAAAGACTCCAGGGGAGATTCTGTTTTTGCCTCTTCCAGCCTCTCATGCCTTCGGGGGTTCCTCAATTCGCAGCTGCATCACTCTAGTCTCTGCCTCCATGGCTGAATTGCCTCCTCCTCTTTCTGTCTGGCAGGTCTTCCCTGTATGACTCTTATAAGGACACTGGTCACTGGATTTGGGGCCCACCTGGATAACCCTGGGTGATCTCTTCATCTCAAGATCCTTAATGACATCTGCAAAGATCTTTTTTCCACGTAAGGTCACGTTTGCAGGTTCTGACAATGAAGACATGGTCTTCTATTTTGAGGGCCACCATTCAACCCAATACACCAAGTAAGAGGTCAGTGAGCTTTTTAAGGGCAGCTCTTCTGGTGTATGTGGATCTTAGCTATACACAAGCTACTCTTCCCTTTAGATCTAGGGGATGGTACCATACACCTCCTGATTTGATCAATTGTCACATAGATGTTTATAAAAGGGTGAAGAGCATGGACTTTGGATGCAGATAGTACTAAGGTTAGACTGGGCTCCACCAATTTCTAGCTGTGTGATCTTGAGCAAGTATTCTCTAAGCTTAAGCTCTCTTGTTTATGAAATGGGAATAATAATAACACCTACCTCACAGCATAGGGTAGCCAAGCATTAACTGAGATCATGCATGAGCTAGAATGCCTTTGGCTGCAAGTAACTGAATACCTAAGAGTGTCTTAAACAGAAGAGACATCGTGCTTGCTTAAGAAGTTTAAGAAGTAGGCTATCCCAGGATGGAATAGCTAATTCAGTGATGGCATCAGGACTCAGGCTCATTCCACCCTTTGCCCTGCCATCCTCAGTATAGGGTAATGTTTTCTCTATGGCCACAAAATGGGGGATAAAGCTCCTGTTAAAGATGCGCTGGTACCTCCTGCATGACAATCTCAGGGTCTTACTGTATTTTTCATGGGGAAGCTGACCTGTGATACTAAGAGTAGTTCCAGGAAGGAGACTTGAAAATGGGATTTTGGAGCTGGATCACCCACTGGCTCACTAGCAATGAGCCTTTGTAATACTGTAATCACACAATGGTTAAAACCGTCTGCAGAGGTGAATTGGGATAAGATACTGGAGAAAGGAATAGACTGGCAGGGGCAAAATCTCAAATGCTTGAGAGGTGTGGGGGAAATGGTTATTATAAGCACTATGGAATTTGAATGGGTGTCACTGGGGACCATTAATACATTAAGAAAGGCAATGATAAGTTGAGGATAATTAATAACTAATATAAAGTAGACCATGAAAGCAAGAGGGCCTCCTTGGCAACGTATGAAGACAGTATACATCTAGATGGCACAAAAAAAGCTCAGGATCAGACCCAGGTCTTAATTATTAGAATAGCAGAGCTCCAAGGAAAATTGAATTCTCCACCCTTGACAGCTCTGTCACACTAAGGTCAGAGTCCTGATTGATGCACTTCAAATCTTGAATCGTCAGCTTTCCCTGAATTCTCTGTGCCTGCAGAACTGGATTATTTCTCCATGTTAAAAGCTAGCACTGCCCTTCTTGCTTGAAGACAATGCAGAAGCTTTTGCTTACAAGGAAACACACGCCTCCTTGGGATATATCCCCACCTCCTGACCACCAGATCTATAAATAGGATAAGTCACATCGTACACCAGCTAGACACATGCTGGGCTTGCTAAGGAAGGAAGGAGACCACAGGCCAAAAGAGTGGCAAAGGCCCAGCCAATAGATATAAAAGCTGGAAGATTATACATGGGTGCTGGATAAAACCCATCCATTTTTCAAATCAAGAAGCAAGAAGAGAAGCAGTTTGCATTCACATGGATGGACATTTGCATACATTTATAGTGTTGTCCCAGGATGACATTAAATTTTCTAGCCTTTGTATGTGGGACCAGGATCATCAAGACATTTCCTAGGACATCAAATTGGTCCATTATACTCATGAGACTATGTTAATTGGACTGAATGACCAAGAAGTGACACTTATACTCTGGAGAATGGTAGATAAACCCATCAAAGACCCACCACGTTAG